TGCTTCAAAAGAGTTATTGCCAAGGCAAAGTATGAGCATATTGGCAGAATTAGCGAGAAATAAGTTCGCCTTCCATCGGTAACACGTGCATTCTGGTCTCTCGCCAAGGCTGTTCAAGAGAATTTCTGTAAGCCATCACTACCATCTCTGCACAGGGAGGACGACTCACTGGCCCACGCCGCAAAAGAGAAAGCCGACCTTTTAGACTCCCTTTTTGCGTCCAACTTGACTCTCGATGACGGGGGGAACATACCGCCGACCATCACGCAATGTGAGTGCTCTATGCCTGATGTGCGATTCACACAGTCGAGTGGGCCTGACGGAATTCCGCCAACTGTGCTGAGGATGTGCGCTCCAGAATTGGTACCAGTTCTAACGCGACTTTTACGGTACTCCTACTCCCTAGGTGTTGTCCCGAATTCATGGAAGACAGCTTTCGTGCAACCGATCCCTAAAAAAGGTAACCGACATGATTCGTCCAACTACAGACCTACACCATCACCCCCTTGTTCTCAAAAATATTGGAATCCATTAATAACTGCCAGCTCATACGGTACCTTGAAAAGCACCAGCTGATTAGTGACCGCTAATACGGTTTCCGTCGGGGTCGCTCAGCTGATGTTCTTCTTATTTACGTAACTCATAGATAAGCGCAGACGATCGAGTCCAAGGGTTAGGCATTGGCCGTTAGTATGAACATAGCGAAGGCCTTCAATCGGGTTTGGCACAAAGCGCTTCTTTCGAAGCTTCCTTCTAAGGGCTTCCCGAGAAATTGTACAATTGGATAACCAGTTTTCTGTCTGATCAGAGCATCAAGGTCGTAGTAGACAGTACATGCTCCGATTACAAGCCTATTAACGCTGGTGTTCCACAAAGCTGCGTGCTATCACCAACGCTATTTCTTCTGCGTATCAAACCGGTAGCATTCATTGTTATGCAGATGACAGCAGTGGTGATGTTTGTGCGATTATTTCTTTCTGATTACCGAAAAAAACTTGTGTCTGAATTCGAGTCTTTGCTGAACAATATCTAGGATTGGGGGCGACTAAATCTAGTCCAGTTTAATCCTCAGAAGAGATAAGTTTGCGCGTTTACCGCTAAAAAGAACCCCTTTGTCGTATCTTCTCAGGTTCAAGGCACTCCCCTTGTTGCCTCTGTCAGTATCGGAATCCTTGGCGTCGACATATCGATTGACGTGCAGTATCGCGGTCACTTGGAAGAGAAGGCCAAATTCCTCTAAAAAGCTTGGCATGCTCAGTAGAGCGGGACAGTATTTCTGCCGGCTCACCGCTTACAACTTTACAAGACGTAGGTTCGGCTTTACATGGAATACTGTTCCCATCTCTGGGCTGGGACTCCCCAGTGCCAGCTCCTTTCACTTGACCGCATCCAGCGCAGAGCGACTCGAATCGTCAACGTCCGAGTCCTTTCTGATCGACTCGATTCACTGGCGCTGTGAATAAATGTTGCATCTCTTTACGTATTTTGTCGCATCTACCACGGGGAGTGCTCTGAGGAATTTTTCGGACTAATTCCAGCCGCTCAATTTCACCATTGCACATCGCGACGAAACTCGCAATCTCATCCATAGCATCTGGATGATTGGTGGTCCACTACTGTACGTTTCACTAGGAGTTTTCTTCCACGTAGGACCTGATGTGGAATAGCTTACCACAAGTTAGGGACCTTAAAGAAAAGAGCTTATTCTTTTCTAAAAGGCTGGCAACGCACCTGCAATTCCCCTAGTGTTGCAGTTGTTCATGGGCGGCGGTAGGCACTTGCCATGAGGTGAGCCGTATGCTCGTTTGCCCCGTCTCCTATAAGAAAAAAAAAGTATAACGACCTTTTTGTGTACAATTTCAAATAAAAAAGTATTGTTGCCTAATTTTTTTTATATTTCTTATAATATTTATTTATTTAAAAAGGTACACCAACAGTACATGTATACATATTATAAAAGTTACATTTTTAAAGCACAATTACTTATACGTATACCTATTATGGGCGTACACAACATAGATAGGAGATATTAAATAACAACACAATATATATCTGAAAATTTTAAAACAATAAAATAATAAAATTCACCAAAGCAAAACTTAACTGAAAACAAATACGTGTTCACAAAAGGCCGGCCAGTTTTCGTTTAAATTTAAACAACGAGTCGTGGAAAATGTCTAAGGTTTCAATATTCATCTCGTTGTACTGTGCGCAACATCTGGCAAGAGGAGAATGGCGTCCAAGGTTAGTCCTTACAGAAGGCAAGGCAAAAGTTTTTTTGATAGGATGTCGGGGCATGCGAGCTGGCACCGTCAATTTAACACGTTACACGTAACACGAGTTCACTACATTTTATTTTACCGTTGACAAGTCCGTGCAAAAACACCAAATCCTGGTCTCTTCGACGGCTACGCAACGAGTTCATTTAAAAAAAGGCAAGACGATGCTCATATGGTGACCGGTGTGACACGCCCTGCGAAATAAATGCCAGATGCCTAGTGAATGCACGCTGAATACCCTCCAAGCATTGAGATTGAACAGCATATACAGGGTTCCATGCCACGCTAGCGTACTCCAAGTTACTTCGGACCAAAGCATTGTATAATATTTTATGGGTGCAATTTAAACGGAAACCCGCAGTACTTCGCCTAAGAAAACCTAGCATTTTCGAGGATTTATTTACAATATTATTAATATGTGAAGTGAATTTAAGGTGCTTGTCTACTGTTACACCTAAGTCTCTTATTTCTTCTACTTCAGTTAATGTTGAGCCGTTAATTACATAAGTGGATGGGAAATAATTTTTCTTCTTTGTAAATTTAATATGGTAGCATTTATCAACGTTCAGGGTCATAACGTTTGATTCACACCATGTCTGAATACTGTTTAAGTCCTCCTGGATAAGTTTCATATCATGAGAAGAATTGACTGCCCTGTAAATTTTTAAATCATCCGCAAATAGTCTGAATTTACATTTTTTTATGTGCATCGTTATATCGTCGATAAATATAAGAAACAATATTGGGCCTAAGTGAGAGCCCTGTGGGACTCCTGATGATGCAAAATATATATCTGACTCATAACCTCCAACAGCAACTACCTGGGGTCTCATACTGAGGTAAGACCTAAACCAGTGAAGCAAACTACCATGTATCCCTTTCATTTGTAATTTCGTTAAAAGTAGTGCGTGATTTACTTTATCAAAAGCACTGGTAAAATCCGTGTATACGGCATCAATTTGACTTCCACTATCCACCCCCAGTGCAATTTCAGAAATAAATGAGATCAAATTAGTCTGCGTTGAGCGGCCCCTGCGGAACCCATGCTGGTACTCGGAAGTATCTAGTGAAGTATCTATGTGTCTAATAATTAGTGGATTAATCAGAGACTCAAACAATTTAGAAAAAGTAAATCGGCCGGTAGTTTTTTAAGTTGCTTGTTTCCCCTTTTTTGTATACAGGTATTATTTTTGCTTTTTTCCATTCCTCGGGGAACACACCATCTCTGAGTGAACAATTAAAGATCATAGTTAACGGTTGAGACAAAAGAGATCCACAGGTCTTTATAAATAGAGGAGGTATTTTATCAGGACCGGCTCCTTTCTGTATGTCTAATCGTTTATTGCTCTTAAGGTATCATTTTCAGAAAATTTAATATGCGATAAAGAAAGTGGCGATAAATCCTCAAGGTTGTGATACGATTTTTGAAAATTTAATGTGAACGTGGAAGCAAAATGTTTAGCGAAAAGAGTGGCCATCTCAGAACCAGATTCTGCAATAGAATCTGCAAATCTGAAAATTGCATTTTTGAGGGAAGAGTTGACTGGTTGCTTCGTTTGTCTTTAATGTATTGCCAAAAATATTTGACGTTACGCGATATTCCATTCTCAATATTTGTCTTATAGTCACTATAGCACTTGTCAATAAGCTTGTGACAGCGGCTCCGTAAAAGGTCATGTTCTAATTTATCACGTGGATTACGATATTTCCGATATCTCTTGCGTAGCTTATTTTTCTCAGATAGAAGTTTAATTAATGTGCGACTAAACCATTTGGGATATTTACTCTTGGAAGGACGGTGCTTGGGGACAGACCTATCAATAATTAAACTTAGTTCATCATAGAGTTTTGTAACCCTTTCATTGACGTTGCTACAGCTCGCAAACCTCTCCACCCAATGAATACACTCCAGGTCCAAGGCAATTTCCTCGTAATTTGCCTTATAGAAATTGTGGTCAGTTCGTTTCTTAGGCTGAAGATAAGCAAAATTAGTTTTTTGTAACGTTACTAAAAGATTAGGATGTTTACAGTCCAGCCTACTCAAGAGTTCTAGAGGCTCGGACACATCAACACTGGGAAAGTTGCTCATAATAAGATCTAAGTATCTACCGTCACTGTTTGGTACATTGTTAAATTGACTAAAGTTATTAAGAGACATGAAATCAACAAGACCGCATCCGAGAGTACTATTATAATTAGATGGAACCATTTGTGCAATATGATCATGTTCTCTACTCCAGTTAATGAATCCTAGATTAAAATCGCCCATAATAAGGACATTATTGGGTTGGTTCGTAACGTTATCAACCTTGCCAAGGAAATACGTCAAGGTATCTGATTTAACTGGTGGAGGTAAGTATACCGCGCAAATAGCAATATTCGAGGTAATATTGCCAATTTTTATTTGCACCGATACCCATAAATCTTCACAACTACTTTCCCATCGCTCAACATGAGCGGATGGAATGTTTCGCAATACAACTATTAATACTCCTCCGTCATCCATTTTAGTGGATTTGGAACATACACGATCCCTACGATAAACCTTATATCTAGAATCGAAAATTTCACTGCTAGCCACATCCGGATTCAACCAAGTCTCCGTAAGCACTATAACGTCGTATGTATTTGCCAAGATGTTTTTTAACACGTCAGTTGTTTTCGTTCTCAGACCACGCACGTTTTGATAGTATATTCCATAGGTGCCTCATACGTGTGTTATCAGGATCTTTGTTGAGTAGAGGTTATCGAATCAAGACTCTCAATACTTCGAATGAGGATGGCTGGGCTGTACTCATTTCTGCGTAAGAAGATGCGTCCATTACGAACCCATACGAATTTAAAATCCTGCTTCTTGGCCTTGAGGCGAGCTGCTGCGTGTAGAGACTTGATAGCTGGTGGTAAGTGTTCAGAGACAAACACAGGCTTTGGCGGACCCGCCATACCAAGATGCTGGGTTGACAGCTTTTCCTTTGGGTTACTCTTGTTAAATTTGGCAACAGCAGCCAACATGGCGTCTCGATGTCTGGGGCTGCGGAGCTTAGCAATAACCATGCGAGGCCGGTCACTGTCCTTGTTTAGCTTGGCGACTCGTGTTATATGATGAATATCTTCATCTCCAATATGGCAGTCAACGGTTTTTGCTATTTGGGTTAGAAGGGTTGACAGATTTTCCGTTTTATGTTCTGGTACACCATTTATTTCCAAATTCGACTCTCTCATATTCTGCTCTGCCAGATTGAGTCTTTGGGACAGAGCTTTGACACTTGATTGCAAGGTTTCGTTGTCTTTTTGCAACCCTGTTATGATAGCCGACTTTTCCTGCAGTTCAGCCTTCATTTCCTCATATTGCCTGTTAAAGTAAGGAATGGACTCACTGAATTCCGTTATGCGCTCATTTATCGTTCCAAGTTGTACAGTTACCAATTTTTTTATCTTTTCTTCGATCACGCATGACAATTCCTCACTAAGTATTCGCCGCAGTGAATCCTCCGTCACATAACGGTCGTCAACTGGAACAGCCTGTGATTGCTGGCGAGCTCTGATGGTAACGTTGCTGGTTTCACATGATGTTTCATCAAGTACGCTGACGTTACTGGGGCCCGGCTGATTGGATTGGAGTGGTTGGCGCAACGGTGAGTTCGTGTTATCAGATTTTGGTTGCTTACTATGACATTCAGGACATTTCCAGCAGTGTCTTGTTTCGTGGTTCATTAGATTAAATCTTTTTAAACCAACATTAGCGCATAAAAGGTCGTATTTAGATGAGCAAGTGGAGCACACCAGAAACTCCCTAGTAGTTATGTTTTGGCGGCATCCAGAGCATTTATTTCCAACCATTATAAGCAAGGGTTCAAGATGCGCTTAAAAGTTGAGCATAAATAAAGCGTCAGCGATAAAAACGCTACGCCGTACGTCACGTACACTGAGCGATGCGTATGTGTGCGTAGATGCGAGCCGGCCGCGAGTTGTCCTAGGTCAGGGACGGCAATTAAAAACGATTATTTTGAAAATGTTTATCGCTATTACTCACAATCTAGGTGGAATTTCACTTGTCCAATAGTGTTATTACAAAGCTTGCACTTTATGCTATCGAAACGTATATAGCATCAGGGTAAAACTTTAATCCTTACACTGATTTTGAATAAAAAATTGAGGAGCAGATTAAATACGTGTTGTTACATATCGGATTTCGCAGGTAGATAATATATACGATAAACATCAAAAATCTTATCATATTCTCATGTTTTAGTCTAGATCCTCCTTGGCATTGTGACACACACACACACACACACACACACACACACACACACACACACAGGCGCGCGCGCGCGCGCGCACACCCATATGCACACGCACACGCACACGCACGCGCACACGCACTCGCACACGCTCGCGCACTCACACATACACACACACACACAAACACACAAACAAACACACACGCACACACAAACACACTAACACACACAAACACACACACACACACACACACACACACACACACACGGCCGCACGCACGCACGCACGCACGCACGCACGCACACACGCACGCACACACGCGTGAAACCACACGCGCACGCGCACATACACACACACACACAAACACACAAACACACACGCACGCAATCACTCACGCACACACGCTCGCACGCACGCACGCATGCACGTTTTCACTCACGCACGCCCGCACGCACGCACGTACGCACGCACGCACGCATGAACGCACGCACGCACGTTCGCACGCACATACGCACGCACGTAAACACGCACGCACGCACGCCACGCACACACGCACGCTCGTAAGCACGCACGCACGCACGCACGCACGCACGCACGCACACACGCACGCACACACCCACGCACGCACGCACGCACACACCCACGCACGCACGCACGCCCGCACGCACGCACGCACGCACGCACGCACGAACCCACAGACGCACGCACACACGCACGAATAAAAGTTATCACTTTCAATAATAAAACTTTAACATCTCATTGTATAATAGTTTATCAGTTGCAAAAGTTTTATTTTTATAATACATATAACAAAGTTATTTTTACGCAGTCGAGTTTTTTATTTTTTTTAATTACTTTTTTCATCTTAGTTTTACTTACCCCACAGTCTGAAAATTGCAAATCACAAATTATTTATTGGTCTATTATTCTTAATTGGTATTCTCTAATCAAATAAATTGGTTAATGGCACAGAATTCTTAAACTAGTCTACCTACTTCTACTATAAAAATTCTAATGGTAACGTCATTACAAAACATTTTTGTAAAAACTATCATAGTAAGGCTTCATAATCACATCTTTGTCTACAAGTTCTTTAATATCTTTCTTTTTTGCTTCAGACAAACAAATTTTTTCTGTGTGTGCTCTGCTGAAACTCAAATTTAGTGTATTACCAGGTGTTAATTCTACTGTGCGTCTAGTCTTTCTCTTGTTCACCCAACATTTTTTAAATTCAGTCTCTGCAAATGACGTTTTATAGAAAAAGGCCATTGAACTTTCTTTTTCTACTTTGAGGACTTTTATATCATGCCACTTAACTTGGTTGTTACTTTCATCGATATTGAAATTTGTGCCCCAAGCTTCTTGCAATACTTTCAAGTCATAAAAGCGGTCATGTGTCATTTCATGCACTTTGTATGCTGGTCCAGATTTTTTGGCAGACCTGATTAATGTTGTATATTGCTGTGGTGTGTAAATAGGGCCTGATTTTATGTGCCTTTTCACCTGCTTCTCTATAACGCTGTGAGCATTGTAAAACGAAGGGGCGTTTTGCAAATGGCCTCTAATTAAAAACTTATGAGTGATAGATTTCACTCTCATATTGAACACATCATAGGCATAAGCAGATAACAAGTACTTGTTTTTTTTGTTGCCCGCAACAGTTGTCTGAGTAAAATATTAGATCTATGTCTCCAATAGGATGATTATTGAGCAGCATTTCGATGAAAGCTAAAATACAACTTCCGATTTCTACTGAACCACGCTTTCCTTCAGTTTCATCCCAGAAAAAAACAATCCACATTCTTTGCATACAAATCACTAATAGTAAAATTAAAACAATTTATTCTAGACTTGTAAAAGAACAGAGACACTTGCCCTTTAGGAATTGGCATTACTGCCTGGAGATCATAAACGACTACTATAGCATCTGATTCTTTCTTGTCCCTTTCTTTCTCACTTCGCGCTAGGTCTTTCTCAAATAGATGTTGTTCGTAGGCTTGCTGCAATGTTAATTTTTTTTCATCATCCGCATTTTTGTAGCTCTCACAGAAATCGCACAAGTCTTTTTTTGGGGTAAAAAAGCCAATGTTGAATTGATAGTTGAATATGCGTTGAAATGTTGATCCGGAAGCAAATGGCAAGTCATTAGCTTGGCGTAAGCTTTTATATTCCCGGTAAATATCTGCTAATTATCCTTCGCTTTGAATGTATTCGCGAGTAGTCCGAGCTCGAAGATAGTGCGATTCAACCCGTGGAATTGAGTTGATAAATTGAACAATGCTTTCTTTAACTACCGGATCTATCGTAGGATGATTTTTATGTTTTCCTCTGTACTCTCCCTCTATAAACCCTGCTTCCATCTTTTTGGTTAACGCTGTTTTAATTACTTGATCACTTAAATCAAGCGTGACCTTACAAAAGGTCTTGCAAACACGACTGCGCGAATTATTTTCTTCAAAATAGAAGACCGTATTTAGAGCCCGGAAGTTTTCCGTGCTTGAGTATCGGTACTTGGGCTTTATTTCATGAGTATGTCGTACAATGTACTCCCTCTGTCGCTGAAGATCACCGAGTTTCCAAAATGCTTCAAACCATTTTTGACGAGTTGTTAAGTTAAACTTGGTACTACATTTCAAACGACACTTTTCTCCGCAAGGTGGTCGAATTTTGCGAGCAGAGATTTCTTTTTTTAGTTTACCCCTCGACTTGTAAGACTTGCCTGAATTTTTGAGGGCTTTGGTTATATTGACCTTCCATGTCTCCGGTTGCCTTAGTTTCTTTTTACACTGTTTTGGTCCTTCTGGCGCTAGAATCTCATTACTTGGATTAATATTTTGATCCAGATCGTGATCCTCGTTGTTATTGTCGGCATTGTTATTTTCGTTGCGTTGAATCTCGCAATTAGGGCCAGTATCGTCCTGTTCATTCGTTGATTTACTACTGCTGCGGTTAGAACTACTACTCGAGCTTGATGAACTCGAACCGCTAGACGATGATGAAAGTGAGCGAGTTCGTGGCATTTGTAAAGTAGGCGAGTTACGGAAGGGAGAGAAAATTATTTTTCTTTTGGGAATAGGGTTTTCATAGTGAGGATCTACATCGTAATCGTCGAAATCACTTTCATCGCCGCTATGAACTGGCGGCATACTGGAGGCAGCATACTGACGTTTAAGAACTCGTCGTCGTCCCTCAGCGTTTGTATGCTGCTCATTAAGATCCAACGAAGATTCTAAAATGCTCGGTGATGGAACTAACTCGTTTATATTATTGAGGGTTTCTATACCACGAAATTGTATAGGTCTTGAATCATCCGTTGCTGCTGGTTGCTCAGGATCCTCTTTTTCTTCGTTAAGCATTTGTACCATGAGTTTTCCTCGCCCTGTCATTATCCTAAAAACAAATAATGTTCAAATTCAATAATGAATCAAGTAAAGTCAACTAACTCAAAAAACCACTCAAAAGCACGTACTACGAGTATGTTTAGTTAGTGTATAACAAATAAAAAATTATAATTGAACCTATCATAAGCAACCTATTTTCTCTATAAAAAGTACATATTTCACTGAACAGGCAAAAATAAACAACGTTAAATTTAGATTCAACAAAACTACGGTAAATCGAAATTTACCTTTACTTCCATGTCAATCTAAGGAACTCGAAATATTAAAAAAAATATTGCATCTTAAAATCATCAAAACCCCCGTAAATCAAAATTAACTATTACTTTTTACAATTAATTTACAGCAAAACTCAATCAACTCAAAATAAATAAAAAAACTTACTCAATAAATTTCGTGTAACCTCCTGCAACTCAAAATCTGCCACTATTAAAACGTGTGTCACTTACGCCAACCAGAACACAACTAAAAATGACGGACTAGTGCTCGCGCCTTTCGGGGCAAAGTCATTTAAGTAAAGCAGTATTCCACCAAAAACATTCTGTCAAAAACTAGCCAAGTCTCGATGGAGCTGCTTGTTTATCTCTAAAAAGTAATGAAATCTAGACAAAGTCGTGCCAAGTCTAAGGTTCCTTACTGCGATTACTTTATTATTATAGTTAATGTTGTGTGACTTGGCCGTTGAAGGGTACACAAGAGTACAAAACCAGGTGCTACATTGCATACCCACCATTGCACCAATCTGTCGCCAGAACCGCTACCCATTGACAATGGAAAATTGCCACTTGGAAAACGTTGATTGAATAACCAGTCAATTGTAAGCTTGATAAAGTTGCATTTACACGTAATGTTGCACGTAATTGTGTTTACACGTAATGTTATATCTGTTGTAACTACCTATGTTTGTTAAGCGAGATAATAACCCATAGTGGTATTGTTAATTGGGCGCTAGTTTTACATTTAGGCGGTTGTTGATTGTGCAACACGTGCATTCAGCATTGACAATGCTGACTTCTGCTCTCTTCTTTTTGGAGCGTCAAATCGACCACCGATCTAACATAAAATAGACGTAGATACGGACTTCTATCAATGATTAGAAGTCCGCCTGCACTGGAAATAATTTTTTATACTGTTTGTTTCAGGCTCGCCTATACAAAAGTATTATTGAAATACGCAGCTTTATCAAGTCTACAATTGACT